TATGTGAGCATTGCCAGGGAGCTTATTTAGAAATGCAGACTCTCCCTCCGTCCTCACCACCAGACCTGGAGAATCTGAATCTGCACTTTAACAAGATCTCCAGGTAATTCATGTACACATGAAAGTTTAAGAAATATTACCCTAGGGTACTCAAAGCAAAAGACAGACTGAGGAAAAAAAAACACCAAAAGGCACTTTACAGGTGAAATCAATGTTTTTTGCTCTGGGTGCCCTTTCTCCTGTAATCCCCAGGTTCTGTCTCTATATCTGAAGCCTACCCTATTTTTCTTCGAGCTGTCTGGGATTCCTCCTCTTGCCCCCAGCTCCTTCACCTGCATCTTTCCTTTGGCTCTTACTGTGGTCTGCTTATACTGTACATGTGTACACATACATGGGCTAATTTGTCCTGCTGAAGCCTTGCTAAAACCTTCATATCCTCTAAAGCGTCTGGCAGGGGTGACCACAGTGGGGAAAAAACCTTGTTTATTTATTGGAAAAAAAGTAAGGAAGGAAGAAGGGGGAGAAAGAGCTCCAGTGATGAAGTAAAAAGCTCTGAAAAACTGAGTTCAGCCCTGGGGTTGATTTGAACCTGAATGATACAGGTTTCCAGGACCCAAGTCCTGTCCATCCTAGCACTGCAGTAATATGTGGGCATGGCACTATCCAGTCTTTCTAGAAATTACCTGCAGTGGAGCAGATTCAAATCACCCCTATTGCAGCATTCACCACCCAGACTTGTCCCAAAGCAGACCTCTTTCCAAAAGCAGAATTTCATCTCTGTTTCCTAGGACTTTGACCCTGGCTCTAAGAATGCTGTGGACTCTGAAAGGACCCCCTCTTTGCCCAGTCTTTGTCCCATGTCTAGTCTTACCTGAGAATCAATATAGTCACTTTATTTTCTAAATAAAAAAGGTGCTTTTGAAAAAATTTTAGCATCTAGCATCTTTACACAAAAAGTCTTCATGAAAACTATTTCGTGTTTATAATTCAAATATTTGTTATGCATCCTGGAGTATGGGTGAAAAGTTTCTGGCTGCAAGTTACAAGTAAAAAGAGCAAGTTGGTCTGAGGATGTAGCTCAGTGGTGCCATGCCTGCCTGGCAAGTGCAAGGACCTGAGTCAGTCCCTGGTACTGGAAACAAACAAAACAAACAACAACAACAACAAAAATTGAAGTTCAACTAAAGCAACAGTGTTTTAAAAAAAAAGAACAACTCACTTCATTGCTTTTAGTTTATAGCTGTGTCAATTAAAAACTTTGACTCTAGATCAGATTTATAATGTTATAGTCACATTAAATATATTCTCCCGACAGACATCCTGGTGTCACTATAATTTTACTAGACATAAAATATAATGAGAAATGTTCATAGGACTTATAAGAAATTAGACTTCAGTAATATCAATATTGTTACAACCCATAAAGGGATAATATGGTCCCATGGAGAGGCTTTGTGGCAGAATCTGGAGTTCACATGTGGTAGAAAGCACTTAAAAGTACAAGGAAGCCAAGGGTGGTAATATGCACCTGTTGTCTCAGATATTTGGAAAACTGAGGTAGGAAGTTTGCTTGAGTCCAGGAGCTCAAGGTCAGCCTAGGTAATATAGTAAGACTATGTCTCAAAAATAAATAAAATTTGAAAACCCAAAAGATATTACAAGTTTATCCAAGATTAGTCATTTTGGGCTACGCTAATTTGTTATAATAGTTTTAAAGAAAAATGGATGACCTATGGATGGAAATATTCAGATGTTATAATCCTATGATTCATACCTCTGTGAATTTCTCTTAAGGAGACAGTTTTATTATAACAACACTAATTATAATTGCAAAACTGGAACACTTTTCAGAAGATGAGGATTTAAGTGCATTTTGTTTTATTTATTTGGCGGAATGTTATGTACATTTTATGTATATTTTACAATAATTGGGATAACTAATGTGAGTCTTTATGTAACCTGCTCTGTTCAAAATATCAGTACATGAAGTCATGATATTATTGCAACTAATCACATTTAATCACAGATAAGCATGTTGCCATGTGTGGTTGGTTATACCTTTTAAAACTTTAGTCCAAGCATTGTGCTAGACCCTAAGGATACAGAAGTGAAATACATGAATATGATTCCTCACATATGAGCTTCATAGTCTGATGGGAGATAAAATATTAAGCAAGTAAACATAACAGTTACAAAATGTGATTCATGCTATGAAGTAAGGATATTAATACATAATAGGGGGACTGAAGCTTGTTGAGGGTAGTAGGATTTATCAAGGAAATTTTTCAGAGGAAATGAAAGAAAAATTAGTTAGGGGAATACTGAAATAAGAGTGTTCCAGTAAGAAACAATATGAACAGAAACACAAAAGTGGGAAAGGATTTGAGGCCATCACAGAAGTAAAAGAAGGACCAAGAGGGACAGGACATAATGAGTGGAGAATGGAGAAAGCTGAAGGACCAGATAATGTGATGTCTTTGGGTTTATCTTTATAATCCTGTGGGGAGTCATTGAAACTTTATAAGCAGAGGAGTGACAGGGACTTATCTACCTTCGAAGACCACTCTTGGGCTCTGAGGTCAAATGGATTGAAAGAAGTAAAGAGTAGAAGGGAAACCACTTTGGAGATCATTATAGTCCAGGAGAGACAGAAAAAAGTGGTTTTGTCCAGACATGATAATAAGTAAATGAGGAAAAATAGGCAGACTGAGCTAATTAATTCCCACAGGTCTGAAAAACAACGTTTACTAATGGATTGGGAATAGGGATGGAAACATTAACTACACTCTCCGTATTACTTCCTTAAACCACTGAGCAGGTGATGATGTCTTTCACTTTGGTACGCTTGGGAATTTAGGAGGGAAAAATTTTAAATCCATTTTGGACATGAAGCTGAGATCTTGTCAGATAACCAAGTGGAAAAGTCAAATAATTTAGTATGCAAGTATAAAACTCAGAAAATAGATGTTTGAAAATTGTGTTAACATTAGATGAATGATTAGAGAAAAGTCTGTTTTTCAGCCCCAAGAATTACAGAATTAAGAGGTCTTGCTGAGGAGGAAGAGCTATTAAAGGTGACTTTCAGAGTGTTATTATAAAGCAAAAAAACATGTTTTTTTTTAAAGTAGGCGTTAGGGACGGTGGTATAGTCAGCTGTATTGAATACTGCTGAGTAGTGAGGTAGGATGGTGTATTTCTGCGAACAAAAAAATAGCATTTAATTACAGTAGTGGTTTTTAAAAGATTTTTTTGTAATGTTTCAGATTTATTTAAGAATTAAAACCTAATCATTAAATAGGATTTTTTGATCACTTAATTTCAGCAGAATAATACCTTAATACTTGTGATGCATTTACGTAGTCTTGATCTTGTTTAAAAAACAAAATTAAAAAAAATTTCTGCAAATTTACTTTAAAGAGCCAATGGCTTTCATTAATGATTCATGAATTGGTCAGGGACTCATCTAAATATTTAGAAAAGGCACTCCATTGGTCATGGCAGAAAAGTTGGCTTTTATAAAATAGCCCAAGCCAAAATAAGAAAACAGTATAATAGAAAAATCAGATTGGTTAACATCAGGTAGCTTTGGTTACATTCCTTATAAGGGTTAAAGGAAAGGACACTTCCTTAACATGACTGGCTTGTTTGAAGATTTGACTATCATTTCTTTTCTAATTACTCAGGAGGACAGATAAACAATTTAGTTTCAGTTTGGAGATGTGGAACTTTAGCATGAGTGACTCCATTTGGTTTGGCCAGTTGAGGGTTTAGAACAGGAGCTCAATCAAATCAATGGCCCCCAATCAATTTTATCTAACAATCTCCAAATTCTTTGCATTAATCATTTTATCTTCTCTATTTATTATCTTCTTATATATTAAAGTTATTTCCCTTATCTGCAGTCTAAGATTAAATCTTCAAATTTTTAAACACAACCAGCCATGTAGCCTAATAGCACAACTTCTAAAAGCACAAAATCTTCACCTCTGCACTAGGCATCATGTAGAATCATAGTTATCCATGTACCGTATAAGAAAATTGGAATGATCCATAAGAAAATATCTGTTTCTTCCTTTGTTTACAGAATTTTGTCTGAAGTGCTCCTTTCCTTAAAATACAGTAACCTACCTTATTCAGGTAAATTCTGGTTTGGGTTTGACAGATATGCATTAGGCAAAGATCATTCAAAGAATTAGAACAAGTTGTTTATTTATTTTAACAGTGTTATTTGAGCACTGAAGAAAGGAAGTGAGATGATTTGGACAGAAAGAAACTGTTGTTTTCCTGGATTTGGGGTTTGATGCGTGAGAGGGGTAAATCCTCTAAGCCTGTACCCCCACCATCCACTTAAATACCTTGACTAGTCATTTTCTTCATAATGACGCAGAGTGTCACTAACCTGATACTCATGAGTTGAAACAATGAAAAAGGAGCCTCCAAAAGGATGGCCTCCACGAAACCAGCAGGGCTCCACTGATTTTTTAACTCTGCACCTCGGCTTTGATTATATTGTCATATGTTACTCTGTCCTCAAATACACATTCTTCCTGGCAAGAATTCAAGTTTACGTAGATGATCTTCTGTAACCCTCCGTTGCTCTGTTACATTTACCGAAACTTGTCGAGTCTCTGCCATGATGAATGTCTCATGAACCAGAATACATCTCTTCATCACTCACTTGTCTTCTTTCTTTTTTGCCTCCTCTTATCTGTGTCACTGAGTCTCAAAAAAATATGTTATCCTTTCCCTTTTTTGTTATGTATGACCTAAGAGAACCTACATAGTATGGGGGAAAAGGCAGTAAACGCTAATATTGGAGAACTATGGCAACTGGATGGAGGAGACTAAGCACAGATGAATTTAGAGGTTTTACACAGTGAGTGCTGTGGTGTCAGGAGGAAAAGCTGTTAGGCAGGGATGAGCACATTTTTCAGTGGCATTTTAAATTTTAATTTTCTTCTAGAAAGAACTAAAGATTTAACTTGTGCATTTGTTTTCAGTTATTGGAGGAGCCCTCCAAGGTTACTCAGGAAGAACATCTCTCAGCGACACATCTTCCCTTATAAGCCAGGTACTCTTTTGGAGAACTTTTCAACTGATTTTGGTTGTTCTTGGAGGTAGAGCTATTGTAAAGTTGTTTAATTATGTTGAAAACAGTTATTTTTCATGCCATGAAGAGCTATTGTATTTAGTTCAGGCTGCTGTAACAAAGCACAATAAAGTTGATTTATCATAGTTCTGGAGGCTGGATGCCTGGGATGAGGGTGCCAGCCTAGTCAGGTTCTGCTGAGGGTCCTCCTGTGGGTTGTAGACTGGCATTTTCCCAGTGACCTGTGTAATCTTTTATAAGTTACTTCCCAGTCACTGATTCATTTCTTGTGATAATTAAGAGTATTATTTAGCCAATGTTCAATCATTTTCCTTTCCCTCTGGGCCAGAATATACTTCCCTGACCCACTGACTTTAGGTTTGGCCATGTGACTTGGTTTGGTCATTGGAAATAAGAGTCTGAAAATGTGCTTGTGTAATTTGGCTTGAGTTTTTATATAAGTGTCTCCCATGAGCAATTCATGTCCTAGGTAGCTGGTCCTGCTTCATCCCAGACCCCAGGACAAACACAAATGGCACAGACCTAGCCCAGCCATCCTGCATCCTGAAGCATAACTTCCCAGCCAAACACCTAGACCAGCCATGCCATAATCATGAACATTTAATGTGTTTTTTGTATTCACTAATTTTCCAATCTAATCCTTGAAGGGGGTGACATCAAGATCACTTAGTGTTCTCATTTAGTTTAAAATGAATTGAGTTGTTTTAAACTGAATGTTTCTGTCCCTTCAAAATTCATATGTTGAAATCTTGACCTCTCAGGTGATAGTGTTATAAGGTGGGGTCTTTGGTGAGGAATTTATGTCTTGAGCACGGGCCCCTCATGAATGTGTTAGTGCCCTTATAAAATGTGCCCAACAAAGCTCATTCTCCCCTGCTTCCACATGAAAAAACAAAGAGAAAGTCCCAACTATGAATAGGCAATGGGCCCTCACAGACATTGAATCTACTAACACTTTGATCTTGGACTTCCCAGGCTCCAGAACTTGTGAATATATTTCTATTGTTTATAAGCCACCTCATTTATGGTATTCTTGTTATAGAAATCCAAACATACTAAGACATGGGCTCACTGTATATCTCTTACAAAATAAATATATAAAATAAGTGTACATAAAATAACTTGAATTTAAAAATAGATAAAGTCAATCAAAATTAATGAGACCATTTCATTGGCACATATTTTGGCAAGAGTTTATCTAACATAAAACATTTTTAAATTAAGTAGAGTTGTTTAGTAGCAGGGCTGTAATAAGTTATTGTTTAAAAACAGTTCTCCATTCATTCTGCCCATCATCTATCCTTTTTTTTTTTGCAGTTTATATAATCATCTAGGAACATTGAAGTAGGATTTAGGTGATTCTAATAAGAATTTAGAATTGGAAACAACTAAAATTTTTATATTCAGATTACATAAGAAATCCATAATCATTGTAGCAAAAAATAGAGTGCAGATAAGCAAACACCAAAACACAGTAACAATTCCTTAAATGCCACCTAGAGATAATCTTTGTTAAAATGTCATTTTATTATTTATCTTTATAAATATATATAATATATAATTATAATATATAATTATACATAATATATAATTTATGTAATATGTATACTGTGCATACTTCTCTGTAAACTGCTTCTATCATTAAGCATTATATTACAGCCTCTCTCCATGACAATAATATGGAACTACAGAACTGTTTTCAATGGTTTTCTCATAGTTTATAATCTTATCTTGGATATTTAGGTTGTTTCTAGGTTTATTTTTCCATTATAAGTACAACTTGAATGAACATTTTTGCTCATACATTTTTGTCACTTTTCCAGTTACATCCTTAGGATAAATTCCTGCAAGTCACATTGCTAATGGGAAAGACATGCGCATGTATGAAAACCTGCTCAAGATAAAAGAGAGGCAGGGTCTGCATATAGCCCCTCTAGCAATGTGACTTTGACCATACGTTCCAATCAATGCAGTGTTGCTCTTTGGAAAAATTTCCTCTCATCTGTTCCCTTCTGTATATCAAATAGCTAATCTACTTCCACTTATAACAATTTGAGAAATTTTCTCACTTTACTTTCCTTGTGATATACAAAGAAACAAAACTATGCCTTAGAAATATCTTGAATGGAAAGGAGAAAGTAAAAGCAAGCATGACAGAAAAGCTGTCTTTTTCTGAGAAAAAAAAAAACACCTCTTAATTTTGGTCTTTAGATTGTTTGAAATAATATCTAACTAAATCTTAACCCTTTACAATTTCATGATATTAAACAGGGCTTGTTTGAAATGAGTCATTTTGTACACATTCGGAGTTTTATGGTTAGTTTAATGTCACTGAATTTAATTAACTTAAATTGTCATTATACTTTAGTAAACTTTCTTCAGTCAGGGAGCTCTTAGTACTGAACAAAAATTTGCAGTTCCTCTAAGTTACATGACCTACTGGATTAATTTCTTAGGTAGAGTAACCGAGCCACTAAGTGGTAGATCCTCTAGCAACAATAGCAAAAAATATTATAAAACTGTAAGAATACTGATGCTCCCGTGGAGGAAAAGAAAACATAAAAGATTATTTCTGTGTGCCCAACTTAGTCTTTTGAAATCACCAATACATGAAATTACAAACCAGTGCTAGAATTTTAAATAGAGTTATTGTTTGGAAGTGACAGTTGGCTTGGGAGTTTACCTCTGTTCATTCTCCAACTTCTAGAAATCTCAAAAAAAAGTCAAAAAAGAAATCTTCCTTTACTGAATGGTTTCATTTTTAGAAGGTGAAATCAGAAAAAAACCAGAACTTTGAATATTATGAAATAAGCTATTGCAGTGAAACATATATGGAAAACTTAAACTTTCTTCAACAGGCATACCTAAGTCTTTTATTATCTTAAATATCTATGTATATTTTGAGGGAAATTAGAAGTTCTAATTGCAAAATTAGAATTTAAAAGATTTTCTTCCAACATACTTTTGCATAGCTAATTTCTGATTTGTTTTTATGGCTATGGGTTTTTTAAAAAAAGATTTATATAGAGCTTTATGCTTCAAAGTGCTGCAAAGTACACACTTTTTATGCAGTGTTAAGCTCAGAAACAATACCCTTGCTAAACAATTTATACTTAGTTTAAACAATTGGTCTCTCTTGGTATTTATTTCTCTTTCATCATGTGGAGTTTTGGATAGTGCCTTTCCACTTAAATTTAGTTCAACAAATATTTACTGAATAACCACTTGGTACAAGACTTTGTGTCAGAGCTGCAAATAAACTAGCACAGAGACAGAAATCAGGTGAATGCTTGCCAGTGCAGGGGTATGGGGAACCAGGGGTGACTGTTTAATGGCTAGAGGCTTCTTTTTGGATGAGGAAAAAATTCTAGAACTACATAATGGTGATGGTTACACAACGTTATTAGTGTACTAAATACCACTCTGTTATATACTTTAAAATGATAAATGTTATGCACTTTACTGCAATAAAAATCAGGCAAAAATAAAAGGAATTAGTAGGGTCAGCAAAGGGGAGGCTCAAATATTCCGCTTCAAAAGTTCATTTAATCAGGAAATATATTTAAATTATCCTTCCAATCTCACTATTGATTTTATGCAGCAACTGTGTCAAATGCAATTTAAGAAGCATATATTATTAGGGCAGTCATAGGCAATCATTGTACCTAAAACTGCACAAGAAAGCTAAAATGTGAAATCTATGGCCCTTGCCTTCAAGTAGCTTTCAATTTTCTTGGAATAAAGATAGCTATAAAAAATACATAACACAGGATGGAATGTCATAAAACCTATACTAGAGAAATGAACATAGTGTTAACAGAGTAAAGAGTGCCATTAATTTAATTACTGGTGAAAGTCTCAATAAGGATGGCTGTGATTTTGCCAATCTCATAAAATGGCAAAGGCCAGGCCAGTGAAAAGATGAGAAAAAGTAAACCAATAAGTGAAAGGTAGTTACAGATAACACAAAATATCCATGCCTTGCTGATGGCCATAGTTTAATAGACCAAGCAGTGGAAATAAAGGTTGAAGAGGTTAGCAGTGAGTTGTAGGATAAACCAAAGACATTTAGAGTTTGAACGTGATTTAGAAGTAATTTACCCCAACTCTCCATCTACGAAAGGAGTCTTCCCTACAGTCTGATGAACGGCCATGCAGCTGCTTTTGGAATTTCTCTGGTGACCTAGAATTCACCATTTTCCAAAGCAGCCCCGATTGCTGGGAGATAACCGAAACTGTGGGAGTTCTTATATTGACCAAAAATCTGCCACCCTACAATTTCTAGTCATTTATTTTAGTTCTGTTTTTGGAAACTACACAAAATTAAATGAAACGTTTTCTCCATATCAGCTCTTCCAGTATTTGAGTTAAGAAATATAGCCTCCTTTTTTATCTCCTCTTTTTTCAAGTTGGATATTCTTGTATTCTTTGTTTTTCTTGACAGGCTTTCTAAGACTCCTGCAATTCTAGTTAACCTGTTCTCTGTAAATTCCTAAATCCTCATATCAACACAGCACCCAGTACTAATTTGGTTTTCTAGGTCTGCCTGAGGAGAGCCCCTCTGATTCTAATACAACTAAGGGTTCTATTCAAGGCTGTGATAAACACAGCTCTCAATTAACAAATATGAAGTTTGGGGTCAGCTAACACCTGGATAAAGCTGTTTTCAGTAAGTGGAAATATTAAGTTACTTCTTTCCAATTCAAGTACTAAACTTTTAAATGCATCTTTAAAAAATGTCATTGTTGATACATTTGCCTTATAATCATATCCTTTGAGAACCGTGTAGGATCTCGAGTCTGCCATGTTTTATTGCTACTCTACCACCTTCTTGACATTCATTAATTTGGCAAGCACACCTTTGATATTGATATTTTAACATTAATAGACTGTTTTAGAGTAAATTGTAGATGACAGAATTTTAAACAAATCATTATAATTTTCTTTCCAGTTAGACTGAA